ATAATATTAATCATAGTAATAATCAGGGACGAATACAGGGGGGCGGCAGGACCTTCGCACCCCCTTTACAGATTCAGGGGGGGGGGGCTAGTAAGCATAAAAATTTGTTGAAATTTTTCTCCTCTTGGAGGAAAGTACGAACACAATAAAATTTACTTGTACTGACCAGAGTTAATAACCTCTGAAGGTTAACAAAATAAAAACGTTTAAAAATTCTGGTCGAGTACATTTATAAAACTATATAGTTGTGCTATACTTACATTGATATCAGCTCAATGGTTCTTTTGAATTGTATACTTTCTCTAAACCATGAGTGCAGTCAACCCTCGGACACAAAACAATATCAAATTTAAATGCTAGTCAATTTACAAACTGGATATGTTTAAACCGGTATATTCACGTGTAGTTTATACATGTGTTTGTTGTGTTTTGTGTATCCGCGTAAATAAAGTTTAATTCCACGTTTTTATTAAAGGCCTAAGAAGAAGAATAAAGAGTTAAACGCTTTTCAAAAAATGTGTTTTTTAAAAAGAAATATTTTGTTAATTAATTCTTTCTGATCCATGGGATAGGTTGTTTTTGGTGATTTAGCATAATTCGGATGGTTCCGGCCGGAAATGTCGAAATTGAAAACCAATTGTTTCAGTTCGTTTCAGAAAAACCTTGTTTCTGTTTGTTTCAGAAAAAATACTTCAAACAATTTTTTGGGAACTCGACAGTCTTGTCGGCAGGGGGGATATCCTTATTCCCGATCGGTAAATTAATCTCGAGATTAAAAACAAGAAGAGAACAAGCATATTTTAACTTTGAGATTAGAAAAAGAGTGGATCAAGCATTGATCCCGCTATCCACCATTCATAAGTTCCCAGCTCTGAATATACTTACTTTGACAAATGAACAGTCCCTTTGAATCAGGTAATTTGATACACTAATTTAAATTCTGAGGTGTGAGATAGGTTTATACTCTCATATCTCTAATCTAGCCTATCCCAACTATTTCAAGGCTGTCTTGTCCTGAACGTACTGTTTGTTCAGAACAAAATGTTGCATAATATCAGTGGAAATTACATGCACTGCGCATGTATTTGCGCAGCTATCTAAACTAAACTCTCACACGTGATATTATTTAGTATTTACGTTCTTCAGTCAGACTCAGCTTTCAGTCTCACTAGAGACAATTAGAGACTTTTAAATTTGGATGAATTTTCTAAAACAGGAGCTTATTGGGCATACAATAAATTTAACTATTTCTCCAAAATTTTAGACGTCAAAATTGCCATGTTGCAACACCTAACTGTTAAAATATCAATGTTCATTTGGAAAAATATTTAAAATACAAGAAATTATGTTAAAATCAGATCGAGAGATTATAGAGATATATGTTTAAACAGTCTTAATTTTAGATTATTATTGGGTTGGATCTCTACAATATCTCTACGTACAGTACCAGGGGCGGATAATGGGGGAGGGGGGCAGTAGGACCTTCGCACCCCCTGACAGATTTCGAGGCAAAATTTGATAAATTGTATGTGTAACCCTTTTTCAAGTTATTTGATTATTTAATGGAATAATAAAATTAGAAGAAATTTAGTAAATAATTGAATCATCAGTACGACGAAAAAAGTATTTTTCTAGCTTGTTAAAAATAAATATAACCAACGATGAAGGACGACGATATTGTGTTTTTGTTTTATTGGTGTTAATACGCGACACACTGCACATCTTGAATTTAATTTCAAAATCAACAAGTAAATGTGAACGATAAATGTATAAATGGTATTCCTAGAGAACGATTTTCATTTATTGTCCTTCGTTCGTTCTTAATGCATGTTTGAAACTCCTAGTTTTTTTTTAATTTACCTAGCTGGCTCTTGGTTCAATAGTCCATGTTCCTGTCATAGTTTCCATTTGATAGTTATTTTGTTCATCAATCCTCTTTTGATGTTCCTAATCTAGTACTTTCTGTTTTGTTCCTAACTCACCCAACATTTGTGTTTTGTATTATTCCTTTTCTATGAACTTATAATGTGCATAGTTCTTTCTTTTTTTAACCTTGTTCCTAAAATCCTAAATTACATTTGCTTAGCTGACTTGTTGGCTTTGTTCCTATTCTCAAGTACGATATTTCTTCCTATCTGTAATGTGATATACCAAGTTGTTTGTGCTTTGTTCCCGAGTCTTGATTAAACGTATTAAGGCACTTAACTAGCTTTTTTGCCCAACCGGCCACCCCCCCCCCCTCTAGTTGCGCTTCTCCAAACGTACCTGTTATTTGTTAATGATCATGTATGATGTTCTCTATAAAATGTTAGCTTACTCAAGTTACAGGTTACTCTTCTTTCTTCTTTTTATGTACATTCTAAAGTAACTCTTCTATTTTAATAAACCATGTGTGATAAGTTAAAAATCTAGTTTTTTAGACATTAATTTTTACTCTTTTTGAGTCTTTTAAG